TGGACTTTTTGCTCAGTTTAATCTTGCTTGTATCTTAATTTTGATCACGGTCTTCATGTACATCATTTAAAAAACAATACATTTCAAAGTACATGTTAGTAATCTTAGTAACATAGTGCACATTATCATAAGGTTCAAAAAATTCTTTCTGTAACCCCCTCAGACCGATGCGGATAACCCGATCCAATATGGGTTGTCACATTAAAGCCACCGGAGTGACCCACTATAAAAATCTCAGAAAATTTAGAACTTTTATTGAAACATGTAAACTCATAAAATCATTTATAAATAAAAATTAGACTTTACCAATTTAGAAATAAAACAGATTTTCAGACTCGTAAATAAAACAAAATACAATTACATGCCCCCTAATCACATGTACCATCTCTACAAACAACGCCAGAAGAACTTCTTTACTGATGTCGATAGATGCATTGGTACGATTCTTTTAACCTGAAAAGGTGAGTAACAGAGTGAGCTTTGGAAATCTCAGTAATACAGAACTACCAGATGATGCTGAAGAACGTGCATATACAAATAAACATATATTTCCTTATTGGTTCCGACATCTACAGATTTTAGTTGAGCGGAGATCCTACTGATATTTCAGGTGGTAACGGATAATGAGCGTTCAGTTCAGATAAGTATTTCGATTGACTAAGTTTAGGAGATCAGAATAGGTATTAGTGTGTTCTCGCAAAACCAGTGAAAAGATACATATTTTTCTTTTAAAACAGTGGCAGTTCAAAATATTTTTATTCAAAAACCATATTAATCCCTCCAAACCGGACACACCATAATGTGTAGGTTCCCCAGAGCCATACACCACCAACACACCAAGTAAGGCCCTGAGCACAAAGAAGAGGAGCATGTAGTAACGGTAACTTCCTCCAAAACCCCTCCCATAAAACATTTATCAAAAACCATAGTAATCCTCCAACCAAACACACCATAATGTGTAGGTTCCCCAGAACCATACACCCACCTACACACTAAGTAAGGCCATGAGATAAGCCAAGGAACCTGCATATATAATTCCTCCAACAATACCCCAAATAAAACATTTACCATCAATAAACGAAGATAAAAAAAAAAACATAATTCAGATCATATATCAGAACGAATCCAGGTTAGGAACCAGAACATATTTCAGATAAGATGTCAGAACAAATTCAAATCGGAAATCAGATAAAAATTCATGTGGGTAGGGAACACACTAGAGTTTACAGATATTATTCAGAAGTACAAATAATTATTAGGCAGAGAAACTCGTATCTTAGTATATCGATAAATGTTGTGATTTAGAATCACTATTGAAAGAGTTCGATAACTGACAGAATCATAGTTATTCAGATTGAGACTTATCGGGATCATATATTATTCATACATTTTTTGGAAGCTACTAATCAAAAGGGTATTCAGAATCCTTACATCGGAGTTACTTGTATTTTCATATAACCTGAAGGATTTGACCTGATAAGGGAGAACAACGATTTAGGAATTTTACAATCTTTGTCGATTGATCGGATTAACGAGTTACTTGATATGAATAGTTCCCATAACTAATGCTTATTGTCTGGTAAATTCTTTGTTCTTCCAGGTATTTACTCTTTAATACCACAAATTCTTGTCCATTAAATCATTCGGAGTCATCGCTGAATAGATCTTCCAATATTTATTTCATTTCCATGCTTCCATATATCATGAAATGTTGACATGCTTAATTTGTTTTCATGATCCAGAAGAACCATACATCTTGTAAGTTCATTAGCATTCCCAGACTCATCCAAATCACTTATTTATCCTCATTCATTGAGCTTACTTAGTTCACTTGTAGTCAAGTCTATCTCGGAGTTTTCCAGAGTAATTCAGATATTTATGAATTTCGATACATATTATACTTCCGTTTAGTTCAATTTGCTATTCGTAGTTGATTTGTCTAACGAATATCCACTTCTTAGTACCAAATGCGATCTAGAGTTGAGCTGAGTTGAGTACTTTCAGAATTATCATCGATCCAATTGATGAGACGAACCAGGATTCGAGTGGTATCTATGTTATTCAGGTACTGACATAGCATAGCGCTGGTCAACTCACTTAAGTTGAGTTCCATAACTTTTAAGGGTATTACAATCAACTTAGTCTAGGCCATAAAGGTATTTTGGTTATCTGGTGCTCAATTTTATTGCATTAATTTCATAGCTCGAGGATATCCAATCATTCCTGAATTTGGTGGTATTCTTGGTCATTTCCATTTCAGGGTTATTTGGTCATTTTACAGATCCAGTGTATTACAATAATACATTTCGTCCGATCTTATTATTAAATTCAAACTTATCATTTATGCCAGTCCCTTCGAACTATTCTGACAAAATATCACCCTCGATAAACTATTATTCATAACTCAGAGATTTTCGGGTCAAGTGCCTTCTCAGATGTTACAACAGGTCACTAGGAATTTTCTATAAACATCATTAGTTTCATCATATCAATATGTCTTTAAAATTTCTTATCCAACTTCCAGAGTCAATTTTTGTCCTTATTACAACATAAGGGTATTTTTGTAATTTTACCTGATCGAAGTATTCTCATAATTTATCGCTTAAACCGTATTCGATTCGAGTTCATCCATAAACAAACATGCATAATAGTCCAATCATATACATTCATGTATTTTTCCATTTTCAACATGTTTTATAAAGTATAAAGATGTAGTAATGTATTATCTCGATTTTTATGCCATACTGATCGACCAATTAAATTCCACTTGAATGCCCTCAATCTTTAATTCAACTTCCAATAATTCCTCAAATACATAACAATATAAATTTCATCAAAAATTGAGCTTAATTCTGAAAACGGATTGAATCGAGTGATAAATTAGTGAAAAATAACTTACCGGGTTTGAATTTGGCGAAACGGACTGAGGACATCGAAAAACGTCAGGTTAGGTGTACCCAGAAAAAGTCAACGGTCGGTCAACGCCAGTCAAAGGTCCGGTCAATGGTGGTCAAAGATGGTTAAAGGTGGTCAACGAACAACGCAGTCAATGGTTAACGGGTCGGGTCGGGTCGGATTGGTCAAACTGGGTCGAACCGGTTCAAATCTGCCCCAAACTATTTTGCAACCCTCCCCCACGTGTAAGGGCGGCGTGTGGGGGCACGTGAGACGTCCCTAGAGCCCCTAAAAATCTTAGAAAATTTTCTAAAAAATATTTTGATGTATTTTGAGACACAAATTTTCTAAAAAATATTTTGATGTATTTTGAGACACTTACCAAGCTCGGTTCCCAATTTGAACGGCAGAGAGCTCGATTCTGAAATATCAAAAACTTTGACTTCCTTACCCCCTCACGCGCCGGTGACGACAGAGACACGGAGGACACCGGTGGACTCGAAAACGATGCAAGGAACATGATGGTGTGGGAAGTGTCGAAAATGGGTGGTCGGATTGACGTGAATCGACAGAAACCAACGAAAATCGAGTTAAAACCGATATCTTCAACTGAAATTAGTGACAAACGACGCCGATTCACGACTAGAGGTTTGAGGGATTCTGTTCATCGTTCGGCAACGAACATGATGGTGGTTTCGGTTCGTCGAACGGAGGCCAAACGGTGCATAGATCGAGTTCAAATGAGGGTTGAGGTGATGAGGAAAATGGAAAAATCTGCAAAAACTTACTAAAATGGGGTTTATATTCATCATATAAAATAATTGGTTAAACTATGAGGTTAGTCACTAAATTTCTTGCACTTTATAAACTGATATGCCAACTTGAAATTTTACAATTTAATCCATTTCTAAAATTTAGCCCTTAAATTGGAGTGTTGCACTTTCAATACTTATTCGATACCAATTCCATTTCATTTGATCAATACCAATCTTAATACTTAAAATACCATTAATCTTTCACATTATAACTTCAAATCTCATATCAAAATCAAAGAATTTTGCATAACAAATGAATTTTTCACAATCTAACCACTAAAATAAATTCTCTTAAAATTCATCTCAACATTTTCGTAATACCAAAATGGTCGCTTGCCATTTAAATTCAAATCAAGTTTCTAACAACATATTCAAGCATTCTACATCAATTATAATCATTTCCATATCAAACCCTTTATTTCCTACACTTTGTAATTTGGTCCAAATTAGGCCAAACAACTTCTAAAGCTTGTAGAATCAACCATACATCATATCTAAACTTAGTATAATTTTTCCATAATTTCCCTATTTTCCCCTTCAACCATACATCATTCTAAACTTAGTAAATTTTTCCATAATTTCCCTATTTTCCCCTTATAGGTCGAAACATGATGAATTAGGCATGGTTTTCAACTTGATTCAAGCCTGTGTCCAACAACCTTCAAACATTTCCAGTATTAGCAATCAATCCATAACAAAAACAATTTAAACTTTCAATTTCATCATTAGACCTTAATTGCCAAATTGAATAAACACCATTTCTAATGGGTTTCAATCATTTTCATGATTCTTCAAGCATGAAAATGATTCTACAACACCAACTACATAATCAAGCCTTATAACATCAAAAACTAACCTCCCCTTCATCCATCCAATTCAAGAAATAAGGGTTTCGAGCATGGAAAGCATGAACACATGTTACAAATGATAGAGAATATCATGTACATTAATTTTGTATTTTATGCTTTCATCCAAAATCCTAATAAATTAGCTTGAAAAATAAAAATAAAATATTTCTCTTACCTTTGGAGGGATCACCGCATGAAGAAAATGTCGCTAAGTTTTTACATATCACGGCGTTTATAGTTTAAAAGCCACAAAAAGATAACATTAGTGACATTTTTTTATAAACCGTAACAAACTCTACTTTAGTGGCATTTTCTTAGAAAACGCCGCAAAGAAGATGAATATATAGTGGCATTTTAAGCAAACGCCACAATAAGACGCATATATAGTCCCCATCAGCCCCTTGCATAAAAATAAATCGCAGCCTAACCTATTTCCCACATTTTCTTTCTTCCACTCTCAAAAAGATATACAAATATGACCGCATAAGAAACACAGCGGCGGCGGCAAGGCGGATGAGATAGATCTAGAGTTGAGGGAGACTTATACTCGGGACTCAGCTACGGCGAGAACCAGCCACTGGGGCTTTATCCGCAAGGTTTAACCCCCCTTCATCTGTAAACTCCTTAACCTTTTCGTTTTCATTCAATTTTTGTTCTTTCTCGCTATAATCCTTGATTGTTGTGAATTTGATCTCTTTCAAATATTATGTCAGGTTAGATTTAATAAAAAAAAATCGTGTATTTGACTTGAATTTTAAACATAAATTGTTTCTAAAGTCAGTTTTCTGGATTGCCAAAATTTGGTAATTGAAGCTATAAAAATAAAAAATTTTTGAAAGTCAGTTTACTTTGCTTTGCTTATTGCTGGATCTGTGATTCTGTTTTAATGTTCCTTGGCAAATTATTTCTTTTTCTTTTTAGTCCGACTTCTCTGCTTTTAAATTGATTCAATCTGCCAGGATATTGTTCATTACTATGGTAATTGACATTTTTCATATTTAGAAAAGAAACATATGTGATTTTTTTTTTATTGGAGGAATTAGCGGGACTGGGAGCGAGGGTACATACATGCTCTCAAACTGAATATGAGCTCAACAATTGCTTGCTCCAATGGAAAGCAAGGGTTTCCAAGTCACGGCTTCAGCGTGCGATGTTCTGAATCAAGCTCAATTAGAAAGAAATATATGTGATTTATTTATTTTTATTGGTTGAATTAGCGGGACTGGGAGCGAGGGTACATACATGCTCTCAAACTGAATTGAGCTCAACAATTGCTTGCTCCAATGGAAAGCAAGGGTTTCCAAGTCACGGCTTCAGCGTGCGATGTTCTGAATCAAGCTCAAAGGGAAAAGCTGATAAACACTGTTTCCTCTGAGTTCAATGGGAGGCTTAACATCCCGGTCAAAAATTACTACTAATATTCTCATTTGGTTGTAAATTAGTTGGATCTGAGTTGTGATGATGATTGGTAAAATTTGCAGGTAATAAAGTGGGAAATAATATAGGGAAAATGGTGATGGATTACACGGCGGAAGATGTTTCATTTCTGACGAGTACCAACTTTGAATCAGCTTATAACATTAACATACTGGCTCATCCTCTTTTGAAAGCTTCAGCATCCGGGGACTCTTGAAAGCTCAACATCCGGAGCATTGTGTTTATCTCTTCAATTGGTTCTATTATGCCTGCATATTTAGCACCTATATGGAGCCAACAAAGTTACTACTTTGCTTCTACATTTGACCCTTCCTATATTTTAGCATGTTATACTTGTGTACATGATCGTTTTCTATTTATATAGATTATGATATCTTAATAATTAGAATGGTGTTTAAATAAATTTATATTTATTTAACTTTAGGTGGTTTAAAAATTACGATGTAATTCATGTTAGGTTTTTATGTTTTAATTTTTCTATTTTTTTTATCGCGTGGAAATGTAATTGATTTGCCTGCCCAGATGGATTAGGAAACGCTTATGATATAGAGTAAAAAAAAGATTGAAATATTAAGCCCATGCATTGCCGATGGATCCTCAAGTCAAATATTTAGTCACAAACTCTTGGCAGTGGCTGATGTGATCCATGTTTATTCATTCCAATTTTTCTCATCTTTCTTTAGCAATCGAACTATTAATAATCTTTTGATTCATTGTTGGTTTGAGTGTTCTGAAATTGTGTAAGAAAAACGATTTGTGTATCGGTACGGAGCTGAAAAGAGGCTTCAGAATCCGAATCTGAAATTAAGGCTTTATCATTCAATTATGCTGCTTGTTAAAAGAAAAAGAGTATCTGCTAATTGTGGTATGGTTTGATATAGATATCTTGACCAACTTGGTAGTTACAATTATGACCAGTGATATTTTTTTGACAATAAAGGCATGTTATGGTTGTACTTCTTCCAGTTTTTTCAGGATTGGTGTAAAATTCAAGTTTTACAATGTTTTTAAAACCGGATCGGACATTGAACGGTGAAGGTACTGGTTCACTGGTTCAACCGGGTTCAACTGCGGTTGAACCGGATTTTATATAAAATAATATTTATTTTTAATTTTACATAATATCAAAGCAATATTAATATATGTAACACTTTTTTTAAGTTTACAATATTAAAAGGTATAAAAAATATCACAAGTCATATATAAATTAAAAACCATAAATCAAGTGAAACAAAATGATTCAAATCAACTATAACATAATATCTAAGGTAAAACATATTAAATAATAAATATAATTATATAACTATAATAAAAAAATAAAATTGGGGCTTAAAAAAGCATAACAAATGATGTCATTTGGTTTAATTTTTTTTAAAAACAATCACAAATGGCTAAGAAACATAGAAGAACATCCCAAAAGTTTAAAGAGAAAATATGAGAATAAAACAATCCCACATGGCTAAGAAACATAGAAGAGCATCTCAACTTACTTCTATAAATAATAGAGGTAATTTGACATTCAATATCATGGAGCCTTTTGGTGAGCACAGAGCGAACTATTCTTTCGCTTCAATTGAGCTCAAATTTTAGGCTTCAATCGAACTTCTATTTTTTTTTGAGTTCGAGCCTTTTCGAGTTCAAGTTTTAATATTATATTTCGAGTTCAAGTTGAACTTGATAATTTTTAGCTCGTGAGTTTTTGAGTCGAGTTGAGCTTACTTTTAAAGTTTCCAAGATCGAGTCGAGCTCAGCAATACTCGAATTTGACTTGGCTCGAACAAACGATGTCGTTTGGTTTAATTTTTTTTAAAAGAAAAAAGTTAACTAGCGGTTCAAACTGGTTATGCCTGTTTTCAGCCGGTTCACCTCGGTTTTACCAGTTTTCAGTCGGTTCATTGACAGACCGGTTTTGTGAGGTAACCGGACCGGACAGGCCATCGGTTCATGGTTCAACCGGTTGAACCGGCCGGGCCGATTTTGATAACCATGAGTTTTTGACAATAAGGTATCTAGAAATTTGTTCCTGAAAATAAAATGTAAGGTAAATGAGAAAGAAGCCATTCGAAAATGTTAAAAAACTAGAACAGTTTAAAAATAATTGCATTGTCAAAAAAATATCACTGGTCAATTTTTTTTTTGAATGGCTTCTTTCTCTGCATTTGCCTTACATTTCATTTTCAGGAACAAATTTCCAGACTGTGTCAAGAGAATAGCTCATTGAAACAAATTTTGAATGTGGCAAATGCAGCTCTCGGTGCAGCTAGAATTGAATATTCCAAAGTATCAAGTAATGGATTTAATGCATCCATTAAATTTTAATATAGGTTGGACATGTGAGAGTTGAGAGGAATTTGCTTGCAAAAGTTTTTAGTTTGTAAACTTGAATGTTTGTAAATTTTGATTTATTTATGTCAATTATTTTTAATTAATTCGAGTCGTAATTAAATTTCAATGTTGTTTTTTGATATTGCTACATGATATTAAATTTGGGTAATAAATAGCATAAAATAACATTTGCAAAGAAGGTTTCATTTGCGGCGTTTTAAGATAAAAACGCCACTAATGGACAACACAATTGTGGTGTTTTCAGTTAAAAATGCCACTAAATTACCTACCTATTGCGACGTTTATAAGAAAAACGCCACGAAAAGTCTGAATCTATTGCAGCGTTTATAAGAAAAAAGCTGCTAAATGTTTGAACCTATTGTGGCGTTTGTAAGAAAAATGTTGCTAAATATATGAACCTATTTCAGCGTTTATAAGAAAATGCCGCTAGATGTCTGAACCTATTGTGATGATTTTTATTTACAAACTTCACCAATGTTTGCAGCTTTAGTTTTAACGACGTTTCCTGCGGCGCTTTTTTCTATGCCAAGAAGGTTTTTTGCGACACTTAAAAATGTCGCTATAGGACTAAAAAAGTTTTACTATAGCCCCATTCTACTGTAGTGAACCATTGTCATTATTATTAAATAAATTAAAAATTCATTTTAATTCAAAATGACCATTTTGCCCTTATAATCACATGTTCATGAACTTGCCAAATATAAATTTGTTCATCCATAGGTAAAAAATAAACCAACAAATTAATAGTTACAAACTTTGCCCTTGAAATTTCCCGAAATTAAAATCTTGCCATTTTTCATCTAATGGTCTCGATTTAAAGTGGAAAATCAATTTCATTTCCATGGTCCATGTTAAAATTTATAATTTTAAAGCATGGAAATGACATTATTAACCTTTCCTTATCATCCTTCAAAATATCTCAATTATTTGATTCGATCCGATTATCTGAATTTTTCTCGGACTTTATTGTTTTCTAGCTTTTAATACAAACTTCCTACGAAAAATCTGAGTTACACAAAAACATCATTCTTCGGTGTAAACAATTCACTTAAGGGATAAAATTTCTTTTAGGGAAAATTACTATTTTGGTCCATAGTATTTTGTAACACCATAATCCGACCCAAAACCCGAAGGATTTGAATGTCACACGAAACCACTTAAATGGCTAACCATTTTTTTTAAAACCTTTAACCATGTTTTGACATAAAGATGTAATATAAATACCAATATAAAATACGATTACCAAAATATAAGTATTCAAATATGGGGAGATCCCAACAACAATCTCTGAAATACATAACTGAAAAATAGAGTTTATGACTCAAATAAATAATAAGGTTCTATGATAGTACATGTCCACTATAATACTCGAGACATTCTTTGCAAGAAGAACAAGTCTGGAAATCCCAAATCTGGCGACGAGCTCCTCAACTGGCACCTAAGAACATGTGCATAGAAACACATTCCATACGCTGAGCTCACAAGCTTAGTCCCACAAAAATAACATTTATATATTATATGCATCCAACATATAAGCATGCTACAAGTATAGTCATGAACATTTGCATACACTATCACAACAACCAAAGTAAGCATCATGATATAGCTCAGGGTCACTTAGCATCACAAAACTCACACTCCTATTTGCTTAATAAAGAACATTAGATGAGACATAGGTCACATAGCATCAGTATCTCCCTAACCTCGAGCTGGGTTGGGGTCACATAGCTTTGGTACCTCACTCGGCTAGTCTACTCCTCTAGAGTACTCGGGATGTGTCCGAGTCACATAGCATCATCATAACATCCAACTAGCAAAAATTGTTCTCAAGTACTGGTTTGGATATATGCGGATAATTCCTTACATAACTATGCTAACATCACACAAAAGTAACTCAGGTGTACTCATTGTTTTCCTGAGAATCAAACAAGGCATAAGTCTCATGGAATTTTACCTTATAAAGATATTATGTTATCATAAAATTATTAAGGTTTTCACTTGTAATCATATTGTAAAGTTTCCTCAACCCAAGACTCTCTTTTCTTCCTTCCAATTCAAGCTAACCTTATAGTCCAAAAATTTACGAAGGTACCAATACTTCCCCTTTGGTATCGGTACTTTATCTCTTAGGGTATCAATACTTCATCGAGTATCAATACCAATTTTACCTTCGATGTTTTGAAATACCTCGATACTGATACCCTTCTATTGGAGTATTGATACTCTACCCTAGGTATCGATACTCCCATGAGTACATATACCAAAATGGTCTACTAGAATCTGATCAAGTCCTCGAGTATCGATAATAGGTCCCAAGTATCGATACCACCTGACAGTATTGATACTCCTTGATGGGGTATCAATACTATCCTCACAACCCCTTTGAAAAATTGCCCATCCATGATAAATATTATCGGTACTGTAAGAACAGTACCGATACCCTATGCCCAAAAAATTATGTTTCACTCGTTTATAACTTTATAAAACAGTCCTAAAGTGTTTCCAAGACCACCAAATGGTTTTTAAAGCTTATTTAGTACATAAGGGTAATAAAAGGTCATCACTTTATGTATGAACAACAATAATTTCTCATTTTCATGCTTTGAACCCCCAAATGCACCTAAATGCTTCATAGAATCATACAAGCACCAAACTACACTGCTGATCTACAAACAATAATGAAAGGTTAGGAATGTGTTACCTTACACATAGGAGTTGTAGGAACTACCTCAACCTGACTCAAACACTTATTTCATTTTTCCTTTCACCCTTGAGCTTTCACCCACTTCTCTCACTAGAATAATCATTGGAAATAAGTTATTGACTTATCTAAAAGACTTAGGAGAGGTACAAAGATGATTATAAACATTAAAATGGATTAAAATCTTCATAAGGTTCCCAAACTCATAAACCCCTCACTAAACCTCTCTCATGGCCAAAACTCTAAAGATTAGCTTGATTGAAAGCTTAGGAG